CGCCATGTGGAGAGATTTATTTTGAGATGGTGCAATGAGATGATTGTTTAGTGATTTTTGCGTTAGTTTAACTATTTTCTTAAACGTTTTACTTTCTCGAATATAGTTTAAGGACTTGTTTATTGTGTTCCGAAGATAAGGATCGATATCTCCACAGTAATTGTCTCTGTCTTTTACTACATAATTTTATACCTTTCGATATCCATCTACTTTTGTTATTAAGCTTAATTGTCACTATAAAGTTAAGGGGAAAACAGAGGTCGTATAGAAGGCGGAATCGCTCTATGAATTCATTATAGCCTGAATTTGGACCCGCTTCTTTATAAGCATCATTAAATGAAACACATTGTAAGTGTTTCTTTAATATTTGAAGGTTATACATAGATGTCACGTATTTTCTTTCGCCAATGATTCAAAGTATATGTCCGCTTCACTAAAATTTTTAATATTTGCGCTGTATGGTCTGACAGCTAAATACATGACTTTTATCATACAGTTATATTTAGTGTTATGTGCAAAACTATCTATACAAGTGTTACTACACAACCGTGTGGGTTGTTATATTTCTAATTTTAAATGGTAGTTCAAGAGAAAGCATTCAAAATTCAGAGTTAATATATTCAAGGTATTTATGTTGAAATCGCCACACAAAATCACTTTCCTATTAGAAATTTTACATATTAATTCCGAAATTTTGTCAAGTTTATCATAACAGTCATTAATATTAGCAAGTACAGGAGGTATAGGTGTATAGGCACAACACAGTGAAAAGGTTTTTTGTCAATTCTACTGCACAACATTCTATCACGCCTTTAATTGAAAGCTTTGCGATATGTGAGAACTCATTATATGCATGACCATTTTTTATCAATACACACGCTCCTCCTCTTTTACGGTCGGCTCTGGCATAATGTGCTCCAAGTTGAAAATTGGGTACCTTTAATAATTTTTCATGCCCATATAACATGAAGTGTTCGGTTATGCAGATAATGTCTACGTCAACTTGCTTATTTGATAGAACATCTAAGTGTACAGTTAACAGATCTGATTTGTTTAACAGTCCAGCAATGTTCTGATGTAGTATACATATATAATTATAATAGAAAAAAATTCGAATCATTGTCACAAGGGCGGTATTTCGTATCGTTTCTTCTCTTGCTAAGTATTTTTCTTTAAGTTCATTTTGCACTGTTTTATCATTAATTATAATCTTGTTTGTTCTTAAAAATAATTTTCATACCATAGTTATTTATTGAACCGTAATATTTGTGAAACATGTCGTAATCATAAGATAGATATAGATTTGAGTCCAGCAGTGAACTACTGGACTCAAATCCTGGAATCAAATCTGAAGCGTACCCATTAGTGTATACGTCAAGGTACAGCAAATTATTAAAAATTTCCACCCTGTGTAGGAGACTTTCCAAGTAGACATAGAATTGAGACTCCAGTGACTGTTATAAATTATATTATAAGATCTTTCACTATAAATCCAAACAAAACAAAACACGTCTGTTCTAGTCAAAGATGCTTTTCGTAATGGCGGCCGCCTGTCACCGTTCCGTTGATATCGATGATGATGATATTGATTTATTTCTTATTTCGATGAAACTAATTCTTAATGACGCAAAGTAAGTTTTCTAACAGAATAAAATAAAATAATGTCACAATACGCTAACAGACGGCCATTCTGCTTAACGAATGTCCTCATTCCAGAGTAAGCTCGGTCATTAGACAAGAGGAGAGCATGTCCTCATGCTTCTTCTAGAATTGCTCGTAACAAAGGAGCAGTCGCTTCTTGATTAACTAGTCGGCACGGGAGTGCTCCCACAATGGTGCCTGCTATAACATCTCTTACACATGAGACAATCACCAGCTGTTTGTCCTGGAAGATAACTTATACAACTTTGATTTTAAATTACAGTCAAAACAAACTAAAAAAATATATGTAATATGTGTATGTTAAAATTACGACATTTCATAAATTTATTATAATGTAAAAATATTACTTTAACAGAAAAGAACGTCAAAATTTGTTGCATGAATTTAGTAATTGTACATGATCAAAACCTTAACAAATAGACAAAGTTATGAAAGTGACATATTGTGCCATCAATTAGAATTAAAAAAATGTTGCTCATGCACAAATATGAGAAAATACAACTCAACAGAAGATTTAAAAAAACCAACTGGCTATGGATAAGTTATTAAATTATGTAAGTTATATGTAAAGCAATGCTGGATTTGACTTTTTAAGGAGAAATCCCAAGATCAATGTAATTGTACCTAAATAAGCAAAGCTCAATCATTCCCACCTGTGTGAGACTCTGATTTCTCTTTATTGCTGATGCACGAACCGTGTGAGAAATTTAAAATACCTCTCTCCTTTAACTACTTTAAATGACACTCAGAATAATATTATTCTGTATAGCGATGGATGGATATACATACAGGTTTGCAACTTGACTACCAAGACCACAATTAACAAAATGTATTATTTATGATATAAGGAAAATGACGGGACGAACAAGTTGCGCGCCCAGTGGCAAGCGACACGCCTATTCACAGATGCTGCGCATTGCCATTCAAAACTTCAAATCGCAAACCATCCGAGGGGCACCGCCACCGCGCTCGTTACTCCGAGACACAAAGTTGACAAGTCCCAAGTGCCTACAATTTCATCAGCACCCGCACCCCTCAAAACCCGAACGCAACAATGCCCACTGTTATCCGATTATGGAATTCCCTTCAGTAAGAGCCTCGCAAGAAATGAAAGCTATATGAGACATAATTTACATGTGTAATTACATAGTTTGCCATTTCGTTATAGACTTGTAGTAAATTCCATTCTGTTAATACTTATAATTTTATTTTAAATTACTAACTTCTTTATTTGACATAAGATAAGCATTATTTTGCAAGTTATTCTAAGTGGAAGAGAATAGAATTGCTGTCACATTACCAAAGTGTTGGCTATCAGACAGCTGCTTCTATTGACAGGATTCAATCTCCTGACATTAATCAGTCTATTCAAAACTCAATTTACAAATATTGTAATTAATAAGGCAATAGAGAAGAACTGTATCAACACATCGACAGCAAAAGAAAGCCTGTCTAAAAAGTATGTGAACAAAATCAATCGTACATTAAACCTGCTGCATCAGATTATTCGGGGAGTTTGCGGTGCGTGATTCTGCCAGTTGCAAATTGTTGTTCGAAAATACTAAACATATTGCCTTTGCCACGCGTGTACATTAGGGATATCTGAATATTTCGACTCATCCGAAGAACAGAGTCTGATGTGATTATATAACGAAAAGAGAATAAGTACGTTATGATAATAATTTCGTTATTCAAATTAAGTCTTATGTCAAGGCGTTTTGAGAATTCATATATTCTTATTTCGTTTCGGAAATATAAAATCGAACAAGGGTCGATCTGACATCCACAGCGAAGAAGAACGAACGAAATGTATTACGTCCTGAGAACAAGCAGTCTTGCATATAGATCTTTGTTCTACGGATGAGTCGATTTGTCAATTCTCATCCTCAATATTTTAAGACACGAGGTAAAGTCATTCAAAGGCAAACTAAAGCAAAAATTATGAATCTCTTATACCAAACCCGTTGCAATAAAGTGATTTATGAGAATAACTTCTTCAACAAGTGTATAACTATTTTCGATAAATTACCAAATGAAATGAAGTTGTTGCAAGGACATGCTTTTAAATTACAATTGACACAATGAAATTTGACGCATTGCTTCTATAGTAATAAATAGTATAATTTACAAATGTTGTACATTAATTTGATACTACAGAGACCAACCATTAAATCCATTAACCCATTCCCTGTCATAGGCCCCATTTGGGGATCGCAGGTGTTTTTGCGATTAGCAGCTGGCAATATTGTTTATTCCGTTACAGTAACCTTTTGTAATCAGTACAATACATGTAGTAAACATTTAGTGCACGTGTTGTTTTTACTCTTCTCTTGGAATCCTTGGAAATTCATTTTGAAATCGTCGTCTCTGAGGTAAGTGCGTTCAATTTATGTGTTAATATTCGTAATTAAAAAAATTTTATTGTTTGTTTTGTTAGGAATATGATTTTTTTACCAAATGTTCGTTATATGTTTATCTTTCTATACACATAATTTTCAATTTTATATACCTATTTATAATAGAATTTTAAATGTTTCATTGGCGATCCCCATTTGGGGATTACGGCAGATATGGGTACAACTATCGTAATTGTTTTATTTTTTTTCCAGATATGTGTTCCAAGCAATTTTTCACGTTAGCAGAGCTCACAGAAGCACTGGATAATGATCCTAACTTTCTTGAGCAATTTGATGACGAAGAATGTGACGGAATCGACATTGTTGAGCTGCCACCAGAAAAAGTTGATGTAGTTTCCGATGAAGAAGATTTCGATGAAAATGAGTTGGAAGACACAATACCGCGAGATGTTCCTGGAACTCTTGAAATTCAATCCAATTTGTTAGATGAAGAGATGAACAAAGCAGGACCTTCAGGTTTGGCTCAGAAAGTTCGCAAATGCAGTTCCAAGAAGGAACTTGTGAAATCAGTTTGGAAGAAAACAAAACCTGATTTCTATAAAATCTGGGGGGATGATCAGGAGATTTCAAAGAGGCAGGAAAAAATAAAAAAAGATTTGAGTGGAATGTCTGCGGTTCAAATATTTGAGAAATTGCTCACAGAAGATATAATGTTGTATATAGTGATGCAAAGTGTCACATACGCTACCCAAAACAATCGGCACTCCTTCACATTTTCGGTAGATTGTCTTCGTAAATTCATTGGGTTTCTGATACTGACAGGATACCATTCTCTCCCACAAGAGCAAATGTATTGGTGCGAGGATGAAGACGTCAACATACAATGTGTAAGGAAATGTATGTCGAGAAACAGGTACTTGGAAATCAAAAGAAATTTACACCTCAACGATAATTCAAAAATAAATCAAAGCCAAAAAACTTACAAAATTGCTCCACTGCTAGAAAAAATGAACAACCAGTTCTTACAGTTTGGTGTTTTCGGCAAAAATATAAGCATAGACGAACAAATGATCAGATACTATGGGCATCACTTTATGAAGCAATTTATCCGTGGTAAGCCGATTCCGTTCGGATTCAAGCAATGGGCAATGTGTTGCGCAGAAACCGGATTCTGTTTCCATGCAGAACTTTATGAGGGAAAACAGGTTGAAACTTTCCCAGTTGAAGGTGTTGGAGCCTCAGTGATTTTAAAAAACATTTCGTTGGTTGAAAACCCCATGGACCATGTATTTTATTTTGATAATTTTTTTACCAGTCATACACTGATGAAAATTTTGGCGGAAAAAAAAGTAAGAGCTACAGGTACGGTCCGATACAATAGAACAAACAAGTGCTCTTTCAAAAAGGATGATGAGATGAAAAAAGAAATTCGAGGCACATACGACTATAGATTTGATGAAAATAATGACATTTTCGCAGTAACTTGGAAAGATAATAATATAGTCAAAGTATTGTCAAATCATCAAGGACTTGAACCAACCCATCACGTTTCTCGTTATTCCAGAACTGACAAAAAACCAGCGACTGTGCCGCAACCAAAGTGCATAAGCGATTATAATAAATACATGGGAGGAGTGGATAAACTAGATTGGTTGGTAAACAAGTACAGAATAAAAATCAGAGGAAAAAAATGGTATTTTCCTATTATAACAAATTTGATAGACGAGATTGCTGTTAACGCTCATGTACTTTATGAAAAAGCTAATGGGAAAATCCCATTCCTGGATTTCAAGAGGGCTATAGCAAGAACTTATTTGGCAACGCCCTCAATTTCGGATCCTAAGAGGTTTGGCAGACCAAGCCTTCGTAAGTTTAGCAGTAAACGTGTGCCAGAAGATATTCGAAAAAGCCGCGATGGTCACTTCATTGAAAGGACAGAAGGAGGCAAACAAAGAAAATGCGCTGTTTGTAAGAAAAATGCAAGAAAACAGTGCCAAAAGTGTAATGTTGGTATACATGTGAACTGTATGCAAAAATGGCATAAATAATGTTTTACCTCCCAACAGCATAAATATTTTTTTAATTTATATAATTTTAAGCATTTTTTGTAATACGATGTTAGCAATATTGTCTAAATCGTTGTATAACATTTTTTTGTAATAAATTAGTGTGCAACAATATTGTCGTAGTATTCAATCCAAGTACCCGCCATAGTCCCCAAATGGGACTTTTTTAAAAATCGTCATTTATAAGAAAAACAATAACCAAAATATATTATATTTTAGTAATTATTCGTTATTGCTTGACAATGTTGAGAAAAAAATGTAAAATAAGTAAAAAAAAAATTGCCAGTTAATGGGTTAATATTGGCACATCTGCTTGCAGGTTGATTATAATGCAATGTACTCTTATACTTAAGACTTGTATATGTTTAGACAACATCTATACCAACATCGTACCTAATATCTTTATGAATAAATCAACGTCCGATGACTGAGGTCAGTTTACTACTTGTAACGCACTTTCCGTACAGCACGATGATGTTCATTAATTGTATAATTCACTTTGATAATTTAAGTGTAAACTCATAACACTAATAATTCTTTGAAATCCAGTAATTGGGCCACAGTGGAAATGAAAGGACTTGTACACTACTGACAGTTTTAGTGACTTTGCTAGAGAGTACGCGTTATTGTTTATCTTCGTATTGTTGCAACTAAAGTGATGTCATGGCTAAGAGATAAAAGTTTATATTCTACTAAGGACTTCTTTACAGATAAATCTCAATAAGTTTGATCTTTTAACTTATTTAACAAAATATATATACTTATATTATTTTTATATTATTGACATCTTCATGACGCGACAGTAACTGCTGTTATAATATGTAATCTTAAAAATTAAGCTGTAATATAATATTTCGTTGTATTTTTATTTTTCTAAGATTAAATAAGTCTGTACGGCACTGGATTCGTACCGCCACTGAGCTGGTGGTTCTTTACGCTCCGGGACGGCGACAGTCAAAATAAAAATGCTGGTTATAACCGTATTGCAGCTTCGTACGGTACTGTTGATGTCTTTTCTATAGTTGCTGTTGCGGGCTGGCGCTGGACTGAATGCGGGCCGGAGTCTTCTGTTTTTATTTCTTGCTGTTGCGGGCGGGCTCGGCACTGGAGTAAATAAGTGTAAGTAATACATTACTAAGGTGAAGTAATGTTACAAAGGTGACATCACGCATCACTTTGGAATAATATGCATTACTCATAACATTACCCATTACATAGACCATGTCGGGGCGCTCTAGGCGTTTCCCAATATGGACTAAATATAGTAAATATCTATATTAATAGCGCCACCCAGCAAATTTTCCACGTACTACTTGATACATTACCTGAAACAGTACGCGTGATGCTAATATTACAAAGTGATGTTTATGGTCTAAGTAATGCGAGTCATGTTGTAATGGTAACATCACGGAGTGATGTTTGTTTAAGAGACATCTCATGTGATAGTCATATTACGCGAAATGCAATGTAAATGCATCTAATTGGGAATATTGCAGTAGAACGGTGTTTGTGTTAGTACCCCAGTTATTTAATAACTTACTAAATGGTGTAAAAGGATTAAACCGTAGACAAAATTGTTGAAGGAGACTTGGTAATGTTATATTGTCCTAGGAGAGTTTTCAACAGAAGTGTAAAATTAACTAGATTGTTTAAAGGGCCGTATAGGGTAGTAGAACGGTTGAGTAGAGTTAATTATATTGTGAGAAGAATAGGTGTAAAAAGGAATAGATCGGGTAGGCAGGATCTAGCCATGTGAATAGATTGAAAAGGTTCTATAGTAGGTAATTTAATGTTTTTTTAGTTTCTAGTAGATTTGTTAATCTTTTGTATTTGTTTTCATATGGAGCTATGATAAAATTGTGACGAATATTTTGATGGAAGTTGTTATTTTCCGGCAAATGCAGACTTAGAAGAATGGGAAGAGAAGATGGACTACCGACTTGGATCGATATTACTCACTTTTTTTTATTTGATAGGTGTATTGTCCTGTGTGGGTGCATAGTTCGTGGTCTCTCTCCCAGATGAACAAGAACTGTCTGCATTCAAGGAAAATATATTAGTTTAATTATTAGTAACCCTCCATATGGTATATCGCCATATCATATGTGTGTTAGGAAATGTTGTTGTTAGGATAATTTGCGTGTTGTTTTAATTTGTTCAAAGAAAGTAAGAAAGTTAGGTGGAACTTAGATAGCTGCAGGACGAAGACTAAAGCAGCTGGGAAGTCAATATTGATGTTCCCCAGTGGATGTCCGATGGGTGCTCAAGCCTGTGTCGTCGTTGTAGCAGCGTGCACGTTGAAGATAGTTTAGTGATGCATTTAGGAAGTTCTAGTAGTGATGTTTAAGGATTTGTTAGGAACATTCAGCCAAACTAGGGTATCGGAAATAAAGAATTAGAAAAATTCTAACCTAACCTATCCTAAAAATAAAATTCTAACCTAACCTAACCTAATTGTAACCTATCTAAATAGATAGGTTACCTAAATAGCTAGGATAGCTAACGAATAATTATATTTTGAATTGTTTGATTAGGATGTGGTCATGGTCTGTCCTTTTAGATATGTTTGTGGCAGACTAAAGCTACAGCCTTCTCGGTGGTTTGCTTGTTGGTAAGGTAGTAGCTACCGAGCAGTGTGTGGCTAGCCTATAGTAAAGGCCGATCACTTAAGTAAGTTGCCTATCATAGGTAGGGTACCAGCTAGGGATGTTTACCCCTTCAGTTGTGAGGAAGAGGGATGTAGTCTAGTCTCTACTCTATGAGTAGAAGTACTGGCTGAATGAATATAGATTTGTGTTTAGAATGTATTTAAAAAAATAGCATAGAAAAAAGAAGAACATCAATTTTTCCGCATAGTTACACTATTTATTGTAGGCGTGGTTTCCTTAACTAAATTATGTACTGCGTTAGATGTACTCTGTTATGTCATTCCTTAGTGATGTGGTAGAGCTGGGGGTTGTCGTTTGATCCGTGTTTACATCATTGTTCCGTTTCTTACTTCTTGTGCACAAATGGACTAATTTTTCAGATGTGTTTCCAGGAAAACCACACAGAAACTTCATTTAAAACCGCTTTATTGTTCGAGATTTTTAAAATTTTTGGTATATATAGGTATATACGATTAGTTCTTATACTATAGTAACAAAAAAATTATTAATTAAAAAATTTAAACGCTATAGACGTGAGAGAATCGAATCAATATTTAAAATAGGAGCTGTTGATGTAATCAAATTCTATATAACTGTTAAATATTTTGTCTTTGAGTCCTCGATGCAACTTGGTATTTACTGTATAGTATCAAAATCCGAATATTCGCAAGACTGGTCGAATATATGGTCACAACACCGCAAGTTGCGTGTTAAAAGTTAAAAAAGTAGTAGCTTGTTTATATTATTATTTAAATATAATTTAACCACCATGGGAAAAGCGGGTGTAATGAACTTTACGTCGTTCTTGCTTATCTGCGTGTATCTGTTGAATCTGTTCAATTAATGTACTGATTCTACTGGCATTTTGTACATTTCGTTGTGCGAGATATACTTCATCGGCGCAATTGTCCTCGGGTTCATTTGCTCGCAATATTCCTTGTGAGGGAACTCAGTCACTATAGAACTCTGCGAGCCAATTAAAGGAGGTTAGGCACAAAACGTATCGAATACGGTTTGACTCTGTTTGTAGAAAAAGTTGAATACTAATATTTTAAAAACCCCGATTTAATAATAAGTTGTCTAATGTTATATCGCATACTTATAGTCTACAGTTTAACTGAAATTTACGCCATTAGAAAATGGTCACTAGTTCTTGCCAAGCCTAGCGGCCTCCTCCATGGTGTCAGGCAGCTTTGCACCGAGCGTCTCCGGCGCGACCAGCACCAGCGCACCCGACAGCAGCGCCATGCCGCCGAACAGCGTGAACGGTAACTGCTCCCACACTGACGCACCCTGCGACACGACAATATCTAGCCTTTGAGGAATCATCATAGCATTTATTAAATCCGAGGACACCTGCACAAAACAGGAAAATGTATCGCGATGTGATGTGAGTTCACTCTATCAAACGTCAAATAAATGTCAAGCATATCTTTCATTCAATAAAATAGATACCTACTTAATGACTAATCTGCAACCGTATTAATTGTTAATAACAACCAATATACATGACTATCAAAGATGATTTGAT